CATTCATTAAAAAGTTATACGCAATCAAAAGTAATGTATCTATCTCCCTCGCACTCCCTTTAGCTGAGTTACGATTATTAGTCGGGACACCAACCCGAGTACAGCGTTCGCACTCCCTTTAGCTGAGTGACGGGTATTAGATAGTCGGGACACCAACCCGACTATAGCGTTCTCTCTTGTTATATCTATAATTTGTAATTTGTATACTCCTTTCAGTTATTATTACAGTTCCAATTTGAAACCGCCCAAGTGCTCAATTAAAGGAAATTCAAATAAGGTGACAAACAAGAACAAAAAAAAAAACAACACAAAAGGCCGTAGCGTCACAGAAACAACCGGGTATAATTCCGAAGCCCAAAAATAGATTTTTGTATTTTCTGAATTTTTTTTTGTTAGGGGAGTGTAGGGTAAGGTGACGAACGATTCGTTTTTTGAATGTAACTTTTGTAAAAATCAATATTTTTCAAAAGTGTAAACGCAGAAAGTTGCTTACATCTACTGAGCATATCCCTGTAAAATTCGAAATTCGAAATTCCAATGCAGCTAAATCCCACAGCGTTTGGGGTGAACCCTACTTTTTTTGCACTTTCAAAAGTTGTAGGGTAATGTGACGAACGATTTGTTCTTTAATGTAACTTCTCCAAAAATCAATATTTTTTAAAAGTGTAAAAGCAGAAAGTTGCTTACATTTACTGAGCATATTTCTAAAAAAATTTGGATTCGAAATTTCAACGTAGCCAAAACCCACAGCGTTTGGTGTAAACCATCCTTTTTACAAACAAAAAAATACATTTTTTTATATATTATTTACGGAAAGGTTATTTTCGACACGTAAAAGAAAAAAGTAATAAGATAATACCCAAACTTACAAAAAAAATGGTCAAAGTGCAATTTTTTTTTTAAATTAAATTAAACTGACGTCACTATTAAAAACAACAATAAAACTGCAGCAATAAATGTTATCTGGTATTATTATATTTTTTTAATTCTTGAATTAAAAAAGTTCGTCACAATACCCTACAAAAAGTTCGTCACGATACCCTACAAGGTAGACTTGTAGCAAAAACGGTGTCACTCTCAAACGGCGCAAAAGAAAAAAACGCGAGGTACCAAAAACTGTTGATAAATATCTCATGTATACGTGCATATATTTGCCTGATTTTATTTTCCACTCAGCTTTGCTCTGGCACTGCTGAAACACAAGTAAATTGAATGGGTTTGCTAGTTTGCGCACCACATTTTTAGCGAAAATTACCTCACGAACAAATTACGGGACTTCTTATTAATATTACTGTAAATACATTTTCAACACGATAAGGGGAGACGACTACATTTATTTGGAATTTTTGTCGTGACGTCATATATGAGATTCGACGAGTTCGTCACATTACCCTACTCGTCAAATTACCCTACACTCCCCTACTTAAAAAATATTTGTCTATATTTAATATATTTCTATTTTTTAGAAAACCTTTATTTCTAAATTCTAAGAAATAATTTTTTATTTTCTAGCAAAATATTTCTAAATTGCAGTCTATTTTTTTTTTTTTTGATTTTTAGAAAAAACGTCTTTGATTTTAAAAACCTACTTTATTTAATACAGACAAAATCGCCAATAAAGCAAATTCATAGGCGATTTTCTAAAACCAAGGGCGATTTCAGTCGATTTTTTTTTTGGGTGTATTAAAATAGGTATTTATTAAAATAGTTACGTGTATTTTGTTTTTGCTTTAGGTGTGTGTCTTTGCTAATTGTGTGTATTTTGTTGTTGTGTAATAACTATTTACTTAGTAGAATTGACAATTTTGCTGGATGCGGCCTGTTTGACAATTATTACAGTTGATTTTACCAAGTTTTTTTTTCTGTGTAGGCAAAAGGAAGGGTTCTCCACATTTGCTGCGTTGAACGAAGCTCTGTACGGTAAGTGTTAAATATTGTTGCTGTTAATTTGGCAATTTCGTCTAATAGGGTCTTCCCACAGAGCTCCATCCACCATCTACCATCCGTTGAACGGATGGTCCGTAAGGTTTTGCCGTTCCGAAAATTTCCCAGTTAGTCCGCCATCCAATTTTGACGGACTTTGACGGGCTCTTTTATGCGATAGTTGGGCGATGTTTTCTCGGTGCAACTCTGAATTCTTCCTCTTGACTGTGAAAATTGGAACGATGACTGCGAGAACAAATCAAATCGATGGCGGGAAAAAATGAAATAATGCTTCAGCTCATTGTTTTTTGGGTCTTTTTGAATTATTTGTAGTTTGTTATGAGCGGAAAAGCGTTCGCGAGCAGGTTGCTATGTGTGGGCCAAAATGTGCGTACGAAAATATCAATGTTTGCAGCAAAGTGTCAAAATATGTTCTGCACTTCGTAAATATAACTAATATTAATTAAAAGTGTACTTTGTACTCCTATAAAGTTCCAAAGTTGCTATAATTTACCAATTTTGGTTTTGTTTACAAATTTTTCATATTAATATTGGCTAGGCAGAGGCGTAGTAAGAGCGGAGTGTGGGGTACGGGAGGTTAGGCTCCCCCCAGTCAGCAATATGTATGCATACTCGTTGTAGGATATGTTATAAACGTTCAGATATGTTTTTAAACTATTTTCTTAATCTAATTATTGTATTATTCTACAGTAAAATTAGGAGAGCGCAATTTTACAACAGGTTTCCCGAGTTGAAATCCCCCTTCGTTAATGTTGAGCTGAGCAACTGCTCTTCAGTCAGCTGTTATTGGATGGTAGATGGTGGATGGAGTTCTGTGGGAACACGAGTTTCACATTCGTCAAAAATCCCAACCGTTTCAAACGGATGGACTCTATGGGAAGAGGCTATAACAAAATTTTAGAACTCTATATTTTGCAGAATCTCAGAAGAGGGAAGGGTATAATGAGACTACACGAAGAAAGGCGACGACCAGTGCAGAAAAAGGCCCGGACAAGGACAACGAGATGGACAACGATATTGAGGATGATGGGGAAGAAGTAGGTATAGCAGGCTACATTAGAATTACGCATTAGAAATACACACACACAAAATAAAACTTGGTAAAATCAACTGTAATAATTGGCAAACAGGCCCCAACCAGCAAAATTGTCAATTCTACTAAGTAAATAGTCATTTCACAACAACAAAATACACACAATTAGCAAAGACACAAACCCAATGCAAAAACAAAATACACGTAACTATTTTAATAGTTACGTAACTATCTTTGTTGTATTTTTAAATCGAGTAGACCAATTTTTTTCACTCGTGAAAGCCGCATTTTAAAGCACTACAAAAGATGCGATCCAGAACGCATCTTTTGGAATGCATCCAAAAGCAATCTAAAAGATGCGATCCAGAATCGGATTCATATAACTCGAGATACAGATTTTTACAATTTTTGGCAAACTTAAAAAAGTTCTTAATAAAAAAAATTTTTTTTTTTTCGTCAAATCCTGATACACGTGTTTACTTATATTCCGAATAATACGTGTAAAAAAAAGTTTCAGGCAAATCAAAAAGTGACCCAATAAGGGGCTGTCCATATATTACGTAATCACCTAGGGGGGGGGAGGGGGTCATTGAAATGATTATGTTTGATTACATGGGGAGGGGGGGTCTTGCACAATGATTACGTAATCATTTTATATACATTTTTAGATTTAAAGAATTTATTTAAAAACTTTTTTCCTTAAATTATATCTATAAACTTAGATAGGAAAGCAGAAAAAAAATTTTTAGTGGCTGGACGGCGAAAAAGAGAATGTTCAACCACACGAAGGACGCGAAGACCTGGAATGGCTTGACGAAGATAATTTCGGCGTAGACGAACCGAATGTGTCATACCAAACTTCATTTATAAACAATATTAAAGATTGGGTTGCATCTCCGTTTGAATCCACAGATTAAAACAAAAAAAATTTATTCTTGGGATTACGTAATCATTGGGGGGGGTTGTTTATTGAATGATTACGTTTGATCACCAGGGGGGGGAGGGGGTCAAAAATCACCAAAAACGTGATTACGTAATATATGGACAGCCCCTAAAAGGTGTTCGGTTTGTAAAAGAGCCGCCCATATATACACTAGTTGGCATAATTATTTTGACAATTTTTATAGTTAAATCTTCTCATATTTTGAACTTATAATAGAAACATTTTGGCACCTATAGAAAGAACACTTCTATTCCGTTTAAATGACACAACAATGTTCTTAACCCATTAAGCACCCTTTGAAAAGTTAGAAAATTAGAAAATTTGTTGTGAAGGTCAAATTTTCATCTTTTTTCCTGGGGCTTAAAACAAAAATGTTTTGATGCAAAGTTTTTCCCCAATCAAAATTAATAATAACCGCAAAAAAAATTTCTAAATAATGGAGACATCTCAGTAAAATTTTGTATAAAATACAAAAAAAGTGTAGTTTTTAGCTATTTTTAAAAATTATAAAAAATACAAAGAAAAATATTTGGAATTTTTTTTTTGCAGTTATTATTAATTTTGATTGGGGAAAAACTTTGCATCAAAACATTTTTGTTTTAAGCCCCAGGAAAAAAGTTGAAAATTTGACTTTCTCAAAATGTGCTCACTTTTGAAAGGGGTCTTAACGGGCTAAGAACATTTTTGTGTCATTTAAACGGAATTGAAGTGCTCTTTCTACAGGTGCCAAAAGTTTATATTAAAAGTTCAAAATGTGACTACAGTTAACATTCAAATCTGACTAGTGTACTTTATAGGGCCGGAAACGCTTCCTTCTACCTGTTACATACATCTCTCCGTAATGTATATGTTTCTTCAATATCTATCGATTGACCTGTAAAATTCCACGCCCACAAACCCCGAAAAGCGGTGACGCCTAAATGATTGGGGGAGAAAGTGTAAAATGGTCTCTATTTCTTAAACGTTAAAAATAAATATACACCTGTGTTTATAAGAGGCTGAAAAGACTGCAATTTCCCATTTATAATTCATTTTTTCAGTTTATCGAAAAATGTTATTATATATTTCCTTATTACTCACCGTAAATTGAGAGTGGGGGTGGCGACGCGGTTTAAAGCAAACTTAAAGGGTCGCATTTTTTGGCGCTGTCGTTCGTCAGGTTTCGAAGCCGTAGGCCTCACCTGCTCCAGCAAATGATTACCTCTAGCTCCCTGACTCTGGATGAGGGTCGGTCCCTGAATGGTGGCGATTTTCATCATGCTGGTGCCCCCAGGATTTGAGCAGCTCGTTGTAGCAGCTGATGAGCCATTGCCACCTTCACCTTCCTTCGTTCCAACAGTACCGCTTCCATTGCCACTTTCATTTGTCGGATAACCCAATTGCGGCTGAGAGATGCTGACACGCACGGAGGCTCGTCGATTAGGATGGCTGGTGAATAAAGAGGACACAAAGTTTTTTATTAAAAAAGAGCTTGTACAAATCACTCTAAAGCACACTACACTCAAATTCATTTTAAACTTAAGGTTGAGTCCACAGCAAAAGTCTTTGCAGTATCGAATCAGAAATTCTTGTTCTAAAATAATTAGGTAATATAGTTAGTATTAAGTAAATAAATATAACAAGCATAATCATAATAACAAGTAAATAAATAAAACAAGCCGCTATGTGGCGGCATTCCCCAAAATAATGGTTATACCCGTTACTCGTAGAGTAAAAATAATTAGGTAATATAGTTAGTATTAAGTAAATAAATATAACAAGCATAATCATATTAACAAGTAAGATGCACGCGTAAGCGGGAATCCAGCCGGCGAAATCCGATCCGGCCCATGCAAGCGCTGAGTGGTCACGGCAAAGAGAATATAAACATATATATAATATCTTATAATATCTTTGATATAAACACGGTTGCTACAATCCCAATGGATGAAGAACCCATTTATTCAAAAATGTACCCCTACCCTCGAGGTGTATCGGATTTCGTCAACAAGGAAGTTAAACAACTTCTTGCTGATGGCATTATTCGACCGTCAAAATCACCCTACAATAATCCCATCTGGGTTGTAGATAAAAAAGGTGTTGACAAGGATGGCCACAAAAAAAAGAGGCTGGTTATTGACTTTAGGAAACTAAATAAAAAAACCGAGTATGATAAGTATCCGATTCCTAACATATCGATAATACTGTCAAATTTAGGAAAAGCCCAATACTTCACAACGTTGGACTTAAAATCGGGATTCCACCAGATAGATCTGGCGGAAAAAGATAGAAAGAAAACAGCTTTTTCAGTACACAATGGAAAGTATGAGTTCTGCAGACTGCCTTTTGGGCTAAAAAACGCCCCTAGTATCTTTCAGAGGGCTATTGATGACGTTCTAAGGGACGTCATAGGGAAAATTTGTTACGTTTACATAGATGACGTGATTATTTTTTCCGAAACAAAGGAGGATCACATAAAACATGTTGATGATATCCTATGTCGTTTATGCACCGCAGGTATGCGCTTGTCCCAGGAAAAATCCAAATTTTTTAAAGAAAGCGTGGAATATCTTGGATTTGTAGTATCGCGAGGGGGGATCAAAACTTCCCCGGAAAAAGTACAAGCCATAAAGAACTTTTTGGCCCCAAAAACATTATTTAATCTTAGATCCTTTTTAGGGCTAGCTAGTTATTACAGATGTTTTATAAAAGGGTTTGCTACCATCGCTCGTCCGCTCACAAATATTCTAAAGGGCGACAATGGTAAAGTAAGTGCAAATCAGTCCAGAAAAATTGAGATAAATTTAAATCAAGCCCAAAAAGAGGCCTTTGAGCGACTGAAAAATATTTTAGCATCGAAGGAAGTAACCCTCATGTATCCCGATTTTAGTAAACCCTTTGACCTAACTACAGATGCCTCACAGCATGGCATAGGAGCCGTATTATCCCAAGGTAAACGGCCTATTACAATGATTTCGCGCGCAATTCGCAATGACGAGGAGCACCTGGCGGCAAATGTAAAAGAACTCTTAGCCATAGTATGGGCACTAAAGAGTTTGAGAAACTATTTATATGGGGTAAAAAATTTGACGATCTACACAGATCACAAGCCCCTGACATCGGCTGTATCACCAAAAAACACAAACGACAAAATAATACGTTGGAAGGCGTTTGTCGACGAGCACAATGCCACCGTCGTTTATACCCCTGGCAAACAGAATCAAGTGGCGGATGCTCTTTCCCGTCAAAATGTAAACGCGCTTAAAGATAGTGGTGACTTTGACGCCGCCACTATTCACAGTAAAGAGTCCCTGACATATACAATTGAAACAACGGACAGACCGATAAATTGCTTCGCAAACCAAATTGTGATTGAGGAATCGCTGCATCCAGCAACCAAAAACTATGTTCTGTTCCAAAACAAAATGAGACATATTATCCAGTTCAGGGACAAGGACTCTCTACTACATCTTCTAAGAGATGTTGTGAAGCCAGAAGTCGTCACCGCAATACATTGCGAACTCCCCGTTCTTGCATTTATTCAACACGCTTTGATTCAGGAATTCCCCTCGACAGTCTTTAGATATTCAAAATCTCTTGTAATTGATGTAACCGACAAATCAGAGCAACTCGAAATAGCTGTGACTGAACACAACAGAGCGCATCGTGCTGCTCAAGAAAACGTTAAACAAATACTTTTGGACTACTTCTTTCCCAAAATTACAAGAATTGTTACTGAAGTAGTAACGAATTGTAGAGTATGCTCGAAAGGGAAATACAATCGCCATCCCGAAAAACAGACAGACAGCAAAGTTCGGCCAGCAACGAAGTTGCGGGCCGCCAGCGGCGGCTGCCCAAAAGCAGTGTTGGGAAAGGTACTGTGTTTTTGTACCTAGGTAAGGTAAAAGGTATTGGGCAAAAATAAATACCTAGGTAAGGTAAAGGTACTTCAATTTCCCAGTACCTAGGTAAAGGTAAAAGGTAAATATATTGTTTTTTTTTATTTTTTATATAAGCTGAGCTCAAGGAACCGAAAAACGATTTTTAATTTTCCTTACAAAGTTCCATATTTGTCTTAGCTTTCTTAGCTTTCATGGCCTCGTAGTCCGTGTAACTGCTTGGATGAACCCTCTAAAGTTGTTGAAATTAAATTCAATTATTTATAAATATAAGCTTAAATAATTTTGTGTATATATATTTATATATTTTGTGTATATTTGGTTTCATAAATAAATTGATGTAGTGATGGGAACATACATTCGTGCACAAAATTATATAAAATAAAACCGCGATTAGTTTTCATTCTCAAATATGTACATATGTAAGTAATGTGTATATGTACATATCTCACACATAAAAAAAGGCATAGGCTGTGTGTGCAGATTTCCTGTCGATTTATCATCGAATTTTATTGTTTTATTAACACACAACACACACTTGCCGTCCGGGTTAAAAAATTTGCCATTTAATATTGTTGGCAACACTTTCTCGTTTAAATTTTCTTTTTCGGCCATGTCTGTCGCGCAAAGTCAAATTGTTTTGTGCATTTGAGAAAATTGCAATGCAAAGGTAACTTTACAAAACAAACATGAGAACGGCTAATTTCCAATGACTTTTAATGCTGCGTTCCGACTATTACAATTTCGAAACGAAATGATACAATGACGTGAAAATGTGGTGGACTTAGCTTATTTCAGTGTCGCAGTCAGATGTGGCTAGTTTAAGTCAGAGCAATGTTTAATACCTATGTAAGTACCTTAATAATTTCAAAGGTATATAAAAATTTGTAGCTAGGTAAGGTAAAAGGTACCAAATTATTTTTATACCTAGGTAAGGTAAAAGGTACCACTAAATTGTACCTAGGTACGTACCTAGGTAAAAGTATCTAGGTATGTCCCAACACTGCCCAAAAGTGCGGCATCAGCATCTTAGCCGGACGATGGAATGGCGAGCTGCAGTCTCTTTTTGAATTTAACTTTTAGTTTCTAAACAGAGCTCAAGCTGCCCAAACGGGTTACCAATAAATCAAATCAAATATAATGAAATAACTTTTGTTATAATTTATATTCTTGATCAGGGGCACTAGCCGAGTCGATCTAGCCATGTCCGTCTGTCCGTCTGTATGAACGCTGAGATCTCAGAAACTACAAAAGCTAGAAGGTTGAGATTTCCCACACATATTCTTTGGCTTCCTACGCAGCGCAAGTTTATTTTAGCCGAGCGCCACGCCCCCTCTAACGCCCACAATCGCCCCCTAACGATTTTAAAATGGGTCCTGCGCCCACATCTTTAAAGATTTCCGAGAAGTATAAATGCAATTTTGTTGTGTTTCTTTATACCTATCGAAATGTAGAAGACATTTTTCAAATCGGACCATTCATTAAAAAGTTATACGCAATCAAAATTTATATATCTATGTCCCTCGCACTTCATTTAGCTGAGTTACGATTATTAGTCGGGACACCAACCCGAGTACAGCGTTCGCACTCCCTTTAGCTGAGTGACGGGTATTAGATAGTCGGGACACCAACCCAAATATAGCCTTCTCTCTTGTTTTAGTTTTTAATTTCTTATAAATCGTCAAGGTTTTTTAAGAAAAGTAGAAATATCACATTTTAAAGCTTGGTGCTATAAAATGATTTTACATCATATGTATATTTATACCCTTGCAGAGGGTATTATGATTTCAGTCAGAAGTTTGCAACGCAGTGAAGGAGACATTTCCGACCCCATAAAGTATATATATTCTTGATCAGCATCACAAGACGAGTCGATCTAGCAATGTCCGTCTGTCCGTCCGTCTGTCCGTCCGTTTCTACGCAAACTAGTCTCTCAGTTTTAAAGCTATCGGGATGAAACTTTCGTAAAAGTCGTATTTCTATTGCAGGTAGTATATATGTCGGAACCAACCGGATCGGACAACTATATCTTATAGCTCCCATAGGAAAGATCAAAAAAAAAACGTAAAAAAATTCTAGCTCCGGTGTTTTTTGAAATTTTACCTTTTACTCTTGGGAATATTTTTTTTTATATATTTCTGAATTTCGGTTTTTTTGTTTTTTAAATCGGATCACTATATCATACAGCTGCCATAGGAACGGTCGAAAAATTAAATGGAAATTAATGGGAAAAAAATTATATCTTTGTTGGTTTTTATTACATTCCCTTCTACTCTGGGATATGACTATTTTGAAATATTTCCGAATTTCGATTTTAATTTTTAAAAAATCGAACTACTATATCATATAGCTGTGATAGAAACGATCGAAAAATTAATGTGAAATAATAAGAAATTTAACATTTTTGTGATTTGTAAATTAATAGAATGATCTGCAAGGGTATATAAGCTTCGGCTTGCCGAAGCTAGCTTCCTTTCTTGTTTTTCTTTGCTATACGGAAATGGTTTTAGTATTTTTGTTAAGAATTTATGGGTAATATTAAAAAAAAAA